TACAATGAAGATGTTGTACATGTAGTACTTACTACCACTAGTGGGGATTAATCAATGTTGGTGACTGGTGCTGATGTCAGCTATTTCTTAGGCTAAGAAATAAATTTCGTTCACTCAAATTTATTAATTGAGAAATTAATTAGCATTACCATTTAGCTCATAGTTCTTCGCGCGTACAAACATTTGGTAAATTAAACTCTTGCCGTATCCGGTCCGCAAAACTGCCAGAACATCTCTGTCGGCTAAAAGAGCCCTTACTGCTGATTCTTGCTCTGGTTTTAAAACAGTTTCTCTACCACTAGATAAATTCACATCTCTCAAAGCACTCTCTACGACATCCACGTCTACCGCTGCCATCTCGACTGTTTGTTGATTTGTGAAACACGCATTTCAATAAAAATTATGTTACTCATTACAGCTCAGCCAATCAGGAATTTGCGGACGCCAGCGTCCGCAGACATGAACTAAAGGGGGTTCTTAGAGCAGGCGTCCCCTCCCCCTCTCCCCAATCCCCCTCCCCTTTTTCCCTTCCTCCCTATCCCCTACCCCCTACCCCTTTCGACGCCTGCTATGCAGGCTAGAAATTAATGTTTATGTTTTTCAAGTTGCCATCTGAGGCAAGTCTATATCTTGTTTGCATTATTATTATATTCTTCATTTTAGGTACCTGAGAATGAAATTGAGAGGGCCAAAGAATTACTCAGTTCCTTACAAGTTAGAAATGGTGTGCAAGAAAACTCCTAGTTATTTACTAACATGATATTTTTTCCCTTGTCCAATAATCTCAAATTCATCATATTTTTTAAATTTACCTTATTTTTGATTTAAGAGTTTGTAAAATAGAATAAATACATCACTGAAAAATTAACTATTGAAACATATTACTCCCAGTATACATCACTACAGAGACATGTCGTGTAGTTTTCATTTTCATTTTCCCTTTGGTGTGGCCATTCAAGTAAAACCTCTTTGGTAGAGTACTCCATCTTTTTTGTTGGTTTTAGAAAATAATGTTGAGGATTTTTGAGTAAAATATTGCAGTGAAGATTGCACTACCTGATTGCCAGTTATGTTGATAAAATTCTTTGCATCAGGTTGACTGTTTTTCTGCAAATTTCTTATTATCTTTGATGAGTTTCAAATTTCATATTAAATGAAAAACAAATCAAAATCCAAAATGGTTTGAACAGGAGCCATAGATGCATTTGAAAGTTTGCATTTCATTTCAACTCCTTTGAAATCACGTAACTCCACAGCTCCTCCAAAACCTGTTCACTTTTGATCCATAGTAACCCAACAAATTTCTCAAAATTTTGTCGAAAACATGTTGGAAAATCATCAAATAATTTTTTTTAAGTGGCAATGTTAATAGCAGGATCTATTCCGGTTGTCACTTAATACAGAAGTCACAATTCCAATTCTACCTGCACTCATCACTAAGGATGTCAATAGGGTTGTTTACCTATCTAATAAGGATTGTTTTGCATTTTAACAAACAAAACTTGAACTATTTTATAAAAGGATGTCGTTTTTTTGTGTTTACATTTTACAGAAGTCACACTTTGAACATTTTCTGGAAAATTGTTAATTTTTCTATGAAAATATGGTTGGCAAACCTCAGCCTCTTAGAATGTTGTTTTTGTCGTTACTTTTCTCTAACTGACACCAGGTAGTTTGATAAACATGTTGCAGTATCTGCCTCTTGGTTGAATCTTTGTTTGTTTACAGTATTCTAGTAGCTAAGCCCCTTATTAATTAAGGAGTTGAGTTGATTTAATTTGAAATAATTAAGGAGAATAAAATAATATATTTTGCTGTATACTGACTTAGAGGAGCTGTCTAAACAATTTACTGACTAGAGGTATACCCCATTGACACCCCCAAGACTGAGATTTAGAGTATGGCCTTTTGAATTGATTCAACAATCATAATGAGTGCATTTGTTTATGAACCTATAGTTTGTGTTGTACATAAGACATTATTTACAGTTATGGTAAATTATTGGATCAATTGAGGCTTCTGGATATCCAGCCACCTACCCCTCCCTTAAGTCAACGTACTTCTCACTTAGGGCGAAATTGTGACTCGGGGGAGGAGTAGGAGGTCAGTTACTCAGAAACCTCAATTGATCTAGAAAATTCAATATTATTAATTAAACAAGAGTTCTTATTACACATTATTTACAACAGATTATTTTAAACATACTTTTTTAGCCTTGGAATAGTGCTTGGTATAATTACATGTAGATTGAGATACTTACAGAATTAGAAAATATAATATTAGTAGGATTCAGAAGGAAGAAGAGGGGTTTGTCTAAAGTGCGTTTCCAGAAAATATCCACTCTCAGCCGTTGCAGGGTCAATGGAAATTCTCAGCTGGACCAAAATTTTTCAGTGAAAGTTCTGGAAGTTGTTGGGGGAATGGGGTCCCAACAACAAACTCTTTATGTGGAAATATGGATAGTTTCTGCAACAAGTTAACACTATAATTAAAGGCTGAAAGGAAAGAAGACACTTCCAAGTTTTTAATGCGGACTTCAAGGTATCTGAATGTTATATGAAACACTGATATGTTTGATATGGCTTTCCAAACTGATGGTGATTACCTTTGTTGTGCCTTTGTAGGGTGAGATTGGCATGTTTTTAAAATGTTTTGAGTGTTAGAGATTATTGCTTTAATCATTTTGAAGCATAGTTTTCCCTCAATATTCAGCAGAAATAATATTACAATTTTACAGACATTGTTTTAAACTACATTACTTTTTGTCATATTTGTGCATCTGCACTCAACTGGATGGACCAAAGCTAGCATTGATATGGAGTGTAACTTAGATTTTTTAGACCCACGTTTTGGTCTTAAGTTAAGGGGGGTGTTGTCACAAAATTATTTATTTTAGACAATTCACAGTCCTCTATTTTCTCATCTTTTTCATCCATCACTGGCCATGGTGGAAAAAAAAAAAAGACGCATAATATCTTGAAAAAAGAATTACTGGATCCAAGTGCTAAGGGAAACATTGTGTTGCTTCGAAGGTGATTCACACTCATGTATGGTTCATTGGTTTGACCTTTTCCCCTTCCTCCCTCCACTGTCACAAGTTGGATATCATGCTTTCGTGATTGTGGTCATTAAACCCTCCCATGACCCTCGATTTTTTATTGAGAATCAAGACAGGATGTGAAGAGTTTAAAATAATTCTAAGTTTGACTTTTTTTTGTTAATAATGGATTGTACATGTAGACTAGAACATTGGAAGCAGTAACAATTTGTCTTAGTGCCAAGGTGCTCTGACAAGGTGTCCTGTTTCAAGATTATAATATTTTATTAATATTTTGGAGGCTTTATACATTGGTCTACATTATTTACATTAATTAATTTATTATAAGTAAGTTTGTGGTGACATGTTTATTTAATAAAGACATGAAAATGACTTATGTGTTGTCGTTTGAAGAACTTTGCAAAACTATATAGGGACTCAAACATAAAAATGAACACAAGCACAATCTTACATAAGCAGGCACAGAAGCATAAAAGTTTGACACTACTATACTGGCACCAAAGAATAAAAACTGATGTGGCAGAAAAAGGTGGGATTGGTGACAAGTGCCATATTTTTGTTGCTTTTGCTTGTGCCATGTCACATGTCCTTAATAGGATTAACACTGACATTATAAGCACAAGCACAAGAAGAACAGGTCCTGGTCCATCAAAGCTGGATACCACTACTCTAAGATAAAAAGCTATCCAGTGGATAATGTCATTGGTTTCCCAAATACTTATTGGCTGGATAGTGATTTATCAGGCTCCAGTTGTTCAAGAGCTGGATAACGTGATCCACTGGATAAATCTTTGTCCAGTGGATAACGGAATTGGTTTCTGTATTTTTATCCCCTGGATAGTGCTATCCAATGTTTGAACAACCAGGGCCAGTTGGATAGCGCTATCCAACATTTGAACAACCAAGGCCAGGATGTGTTGATATTCTTACATTTGTATGTTCACGTTTATGCTTCAGTTGCCCTCAGAGAAAAAATTCTTATGTTAATGCATATTCTTGTGTGGACCAAAGTTAGTAAGAGTCATGCTTATGATAAGTCAGATTCAAGTTGAGGATTTGTTAAAACAGAAAATGGGCAGATAAAAACTGTCCATGTTCTTGTGGATAAAACTGGCATGAAACTACTTATTTTTATAGGGGAAAAAGTGAACAACAAACAACAAGTAAAGGGAAGACTTGGTCACGTGGTGCAACTTCACCTTTGCCATTTGCTGTAAATCTGACTCTAAATCTCCCTATTATAAAAGATATAAAATTTTCTTATCTGAGGTTTTTTTTTTTAAAAAAAATCCCGCTTTGGCTCATTTAATTCTCTCTGAATAACTAGGACTGTCCCTCACTCCAAACTTCAGCACTGAATCTTAAAGAGTGCACACAACTACATATGTCTTGAGTGAGGTTAAAGGGGTCAAAAGGAGAACAGAAAAAGTTGCTTTAAGAATACTGTGGTTAGCCAAGACAGGAAATGAAATAAAAAAATTTGAATTAGCTTTTTTTTCCTTTCACATAATAATACAAGCATTTAGAAGAAATTTCTCAGTTTCTGCCTTTAAGATTTATGCCAGATAAACTATATGGTTAAGTTACCCCTCATTTTGTTGTTTGCAAACTCATGTTTGCATGTTCACACTGCTGGCATAACTACTTTCTGTTTAACTTGAGTAGTTATGTTCCTAGTGTGAACCAGGAATGGCATTATGACATTATCCTTATGTTGTTTTTCACACTAGTGTATTCCAAGCTTTAGTGGCTTATGCTAACCATGACACTACTGTGGGTCTATATCGTGTTAACACACTAAAATGGTTTCTCTGTTCTTGGACGCATCTCTCAGTATTTGCTGCAGATGATGTTATGTTCAGTTTTTCCTTACAGGATGTTGTTTTGACTCAATTGTTTAGTATACATTTTCTTTATCTTTGGTTTCCTTGCCTTGTGTTCATCACTGCTCGGATGGTTCAGAACCAGTTTGTCCTGGTTTTGGTAAAGTCATCCTCATTCTTCTCCTACAGTAATACTGCCAGTGGAGAATTTGCTGTTCATCAATGAACTTGGCACATGCAGGGTTGACAAGTTCTCGACGAAAATGTTCATATTGGAGAAGTTCCAGAAAATGTAGGCACTGGGGATATCTGAAAGAAAGTATGAAAACTCAAAAAAAAATTCAAGTCGTTCTTAGCCTAAATAGTGAAAATTAAATCCAACAAAGAATATGCAATTTGCATAAAATCGAGCATGACCCTCCCTACTAAAACAGACACTTTTGCCATGCTCACAGAAGTGTTAAAAAAAAAAACAAAAACAAAAACAAAAAAAACTTAGACTCAGACTTCTCTTCCTTGGCTAACAAATTATTACAATTATACAATCTGCCCAGAATATTCTTAAGATTACTTTTATGTACAAACTAAAATTGAAACACAACTTATAAAATAACCTTTTAATGTTATTGTATAAGTTGTGGTTCGATTTTATTTTTTGGATTTTAAGTCCACTTCTGTTTGTTCTCTGGGTATGGAAATTTACGATAATAAGTTTGAAACATAAAGAAATCAAAATTAAATGAAGTCTAGAAATGAAGCACAATGTTGATTCTGTTCCTGGGAAGTCCAGCATACCACCTTGAGATATAACAGTGTGAATTTTTTAAAAAAGTTTTAACTTACTTTAGGAACTTTGCATACTCTGGTTTCTTCCAGTACAGAAGATAGTTGAGGTAATTTATGAAAGACTGGTCTTTGAAGTAACCTCTCTGGGCCAAAACTGTGCATGCAAACAGAAAAAGAACAATAAATTATTGTTCTTATTAATTTAATAAAAAATATAAATTGAACCAGCCATACAATAATCAGACTGTGCTAGCCTGTAAAACTTCTAGGTTCTGATAGCTCTGACATTCTTTGTGAGATTATTTCCAGGGAGGGAGGGGGGTGGGGGGGAGAGAAGGGTGGTCCCTATAATAGCCGATATGGGGAGGCTCCACCTGAAAGGGGGCACCTTTTTTAGGCTTCAGGTGTATGAAAGGGTAGGGATTTCACTTGTTGAAGTACATGAAAGGGTAGGGAAATCTGTCATTTCAGTCTGTAAAAACGTCCCCCAAAAAACAGATGCATTTTATGGCTGTCAAAAAGTCGAAGAAATGTTCTTGTTTTGTAATTTATTAATTATTCTAAAAACAGTGCATTTACAGAAGTTAAAGGGATACAAAGTTTGAACCTTGGGGCAGGGCCTACCCATATAAACCTTTGTTGAGTACTCCCCCCCCCCCTTGTCCCCAAGGAGATTTTTCCACAACAAAGTTACACTGTAGAAAAAATGCAGTGTAAAAACGAATGGGGCTTGAGTATAGAGAATTTGCTTTACTTGTTTGATATACCTTATCTGGAATAAAAAAAGGGACGCATGAACAGGGACAAAAGGATCCTACCCCCCACCCCCCCCAGCCCCTTCGATATTAAAATTATGACTTTTCACCCCAGCATTAGAAATGTTAGGCCGCTATTGCATGAAGTAAAAACTGATAAAAAGTTGCGATCTGTGGAAAAGCAAGAGGTCTCAAATTACTTGTGACATTACTCCTGCAGGTTTGTAGCATTTTTTATCTTGCTACGAACACGAAAGGTACACTCAAAGGTTTCTTTTATCATTTATTCAAGGTTAACCACACCCCCCATTTTTTTGCTGTACGTTTTGTGGTAACTTTTGTGAAAGGCTCGCAAAACCATTCCAGCTTTTGAAAATGATTTGCAGTGACTATTCAAGATCATATTTCAATCTTTTTTAATTTTCTGCAGTCGCGCATGATGCATGTAAATACAAACCTTTACAAGTATAAAACAGTTTTGATAATACAAAAGATAGACTTGATACAAAAATACTGAGTCATGTCATATTAACCTACAACTTTCACAGAAATTGCAGATCGGGCAACTAGGATACTAAAATTAATTGCCTGGATAAAAGTTTTAGTTGCCCTGGGCGCAGCTGTTAATGTCCAGCCCTGGTAACCCTACCCCTTAACTTTCAAATGGGACCCTTCCCCGTCCCCCCACCCCCCCTCGCCCCGGCATACCGCCAGCCTTAGGGGAAGGTTTTAAACATTGTTTCAATATGCATGTCTCTGTATTCTGTTGAACATGAGCGGAGTGGGCCGTCAAGTGTTCCATTTGCATTTATCTTTCATTTTAAGATAAGACATCCTAAAGCTCCAGCTAGGACATAAGACTTGAGAAACAACACAGACACTTACAATTGAGATAATGAGGATTGGCGAGACACTGTACAAGCTCCAGTTCAACTTGAAACCTAACACGTGCTTGGTCTTCTGTTTCTGAACGTGAAAAAGAAACAGGTCATGTATTTTTGTCATGTCAAAAATTACAAGGTTACAAATATGACTGCGTTCTACGATATTTACCGTGTGATCTTCTTTCACCAATGTCCATGCCCGTCGCCATTTTTACTTTATTTAGAAGACATCTTATGTGATGTTACACCAAGTAAATATCCTGTGTTAAGTTACCGCTGACTATGTACACTATGGTCTCGCTTCATTGTGTTGCGAAAATATGTTGCTAAAATTATGGTCTGTTTTGTGTTCAGCCAACATGGCGGACGACTTCGACGGCAGAAACGAGTTTGGTGGAAAAGGATTCTACGATAATTTTGGCGATGCTCCTAGGTAAAAATCATCAAATTTCCTCGTTGTAGAAATTTTGTATAACAAACTCGATTTTGTTCCTTAGGGATTATGGTGGATCGTACGGTGGAGGAAGACGGCGTGGTGGAGGAGGTGACCGAGGGAATCGCGATCGCGGTCCAAGGCCACTTCCGACAGAGCCACCTTTCACTGCATTTGTAGGGGGACTTCCCCCAGAAACTGTCCAAGGAGATCTGGATCGCATTTTTGCAGATATTAAGGTTAGTTATCGTACCGATCAAAGACAAAAAAAAGGCCTAGTTTGAATGGAGTTGATGCTCCGATCATGATTTCTATAATAACCCACGCGTGCTCTCCCGTGCAGTGATTCTCTCGATTCTTTACCTTCAAACTGCATGGCTTTACTTTCGGTGTAGGTTTTGCTCGGGTGTTAAAGAGAGCGAAGCTGTAGTGTACTTGCAGGTCAGATGCTTTTCCATTCAACATTGACATTGCTGTCAATAAGATTTACAAGCTTATTGATCTCACAACAACAGTGTTTTATACAAGCTTAACAAAAAACTTATAAGTCAGCGATCTCGTTATTCAGATAAAGTGCTGCAGCAAACTCTTGCTAGTTAAGTTTGGCGCGAATACTTCGTCACATTTTCATTGTTTCTCTTTAAATATTTTAAGGCGTGGATAACGTTGTCTTCTTTTACAATAATCATGGCAACGCATGCAAGACACATGCAAATATAACAGGTGTTGAGGAGTGGCAAGGTATTCTGCATGAGTATTCTGCAGATAAATGAAATTGCTTAGAACTGAACCTGGTTAAATCCAAGGTTTTTTTTGGATGAGGGAAAAAGGTGTTTATCAGAAACAAGGGATGTCATCTATTACTTCATTTTTAAATTCCCAGGGGGACTTTAAAAGTATTTTCCTCATTAAAAGGGAAGGAGGTTGGTGAGCAAATGATCGGTGAAGGTTTTAGTGTACAACTGCAGCTCTAAATGAATCCTTGCTTATTTCCACACATGATCAATGTCATCGACAGGGACTGGGAGTCACAATCACATTTTTGTGAGTTGATGGTCCTTTAATAATTAATCATGATACTTCTTCTGCAAATTATTTATGGTCAAAGGCAGATAAATGACCCCTATTTTTTTTAGTCCTACCAATTTTAAATGGTCTCAGCAGTTCCTTAGATTTTAAGTTTTGGCTATATTTTGTCTTGAAAAAGTTCATGGAATAGAGTTGCTTTCAGGAAGGTAACAAAGCAGGGGTCTATTGCCATGCTTCCAAGTAAAAATGCAAATTTTCTGATGGTTAGAAATGGTAGTTTTGAATTTTTGGCAGAATGTTTGCATTGCTACAGATGCCATCAATGGAAAACTTGTGGGTGAATTTTTGGGGATCCCCCTTTACAAACAGACCTTACTTTCTGTCTGGTTCCCTCTATTTTTAGGCTTGCCCCCACCTCCTCCTCCTCCTCCTCCTCAAATCTCACAAGCTCTCGCCTATTAATAAAATAATGAACAGTCTGTAAATAATGGCTTGTCAGTTGTAATGCTTGTTCAATGACCTCTCAATAGACAAATTTGAGGATGATAAATATTTTGATTTTATTGTAGGAATATATCAGAAGTGTTCGATTGGTGAGAGATAAAGAAACTGATAAATTTAAAGGTACCATAATAAAACATTATTTTTAAAATTTCCTGGCTCTTCTCTTGAGCTGAATTATAAAAAAAAACAGATTAATTTGAGTCAAATATTTTTAGTCTACTGATCAGAGAAGATTGTGAGTGATTTAAAACTGTGACTCAATCCCTTTTGCAGGTTTCTGTTATGTTGAATTTGATGATCTTGCTGCTCTTAAGGAAGCGTTATTGTATGATGGTGCAGTAAGTACACACATTTACATTGATTGGCTAACCAATAGTGACTAAGATCAATTTTCTCCTAACAATATCAATACATTGTCGACAGATAAGTTATGAGAATTAATAAAATCATCACTCAAGTAAAAATGCCTTGATCTTCTTACAAATTCTCTCAACTCATTCTTTAAGGAAATGTATGGAGATGAGTTTGGAGAATTTGTATGTGGATACTGGGGCTTACAGGGTTAACATACAGTTTATTGTCATTTGGTGAGCTTGGGTTGCATCTCTGAGCTGAATAAAATTGTGGCTAAGCCATTGCCAAAAATAATGGCTGGTCAACA